GGAGTATCGGATCTGTGAGACCAAGAGTCTTAAAACACAGACAGATGCATCAATCTGTCACAGTCTGATGACATCAGTCATTAAGACAATATAACTAATTCTCCTGGGCTCTGATTCTAACCTTAATAGACAATCCGCTTATTATACATTTGTCTTCTCATATATAGTAATGCAATGTTTTCAACCTCTCCTTTCCAACATAACTAAAGGGGTCAATATAAACCCAACACTAACAGTGATTCACTAAGGCAGTCATTTTTACCCAAGAGGCATTCCACATATTAAAATTCCCAAGGGACTGTTTGTCATTTTTATAAAATACCCTAAAACTCTGAGATTCTATGAGTTCCTTCCACTGGTTGAGAATTATGGGTCTCCACAGAGAATACGTTGACCTAATTCGGTTAATCTGATAATTACATTTCTTTCTACAAATTAAATGTTTCAGCATTTTGGTTTTTATAGATCAGTTTCTGCACCCCAAATTAATTACAGGTATACTGATAGGCAGAGATGTGCCTTTGATGTGCCAAAGAACCAGTTGTATATATTTAATATGAGTTAGAAGCTTATGACACTAAAACGTTCTAGGGCCTTAAATGGAAGTCAACTAATCCAATTTAGTTTAACATTCTCTCAATGAAAAAATCCCTTCTGTATTTCTCACATTGGTTTAATTTGTTCTACTTCCTACCTAACACCTGAGAATAACTGGACTGATAGTTTACTCCAGAAATGAGGAGGAAAGAGGTGTTTTTAGAATACAGGTCTCTCATTTCTAACAGTAAGCACACCTGAGCAGGGCACTTCAGTGAAAAAGGCCACAAGACATATTTTGGGAGATAAAAAGGCAGAGTGGAGGAAAGACAGAAGACTCAAAGGAAAATGACAACGGGACCTGAATAGGGACTCCACAAAAGAAATCCAAATGGCAAATAAATTAATTAAATAATGGAGCACAATCTCATTAGCAATAAAAAAAAAAACACAAACTAAAAAAACATAAAAGATATTAAACACCCAACAGAATGACAAAAATTAGGAAGCTGGATAATAACCACTTTGGAAAACAGGCATCATACAAATAGCCCACCAACCAGGGATTTTACTTCTTATTCCCAGAGAAACTCTTTTATGTGTACACCAGGATTCATGTTCATAACTGGGCTGTTTTTATAGAAACTAAACTAGAAATCACTCAAAAATTTATCAAAGTATAGAACAGACAGGTAGTGATATATGAACACAACTGAATATTACATGGCAATGAAAATGCACAAACTGCAAATGTATGCAACAATATTGACAAATTTCATAGACTCAAACAAAAAAAGCAAGAGGAAAAAGATTGCAAACAGTTGATTTCATTTATATAACATTCAAAAACACAGAACTAAATTATATTTCTCAGAGATATGTTCACATATGGTCAAATTATTTTTAGAAAGCAGAAGTATTATTGCAAAAGTTATCTTATGGGATTGATTACTCCTAGCAGAATTACCCAAGAAAGAGATACTATGACCTAAGGACAAACAGGGACTTCTAGAATATCAGTAATATTCTATTTCTTACCTGGCTGATGATTAGCTTTCCAATTGTTCTTCAAACGATACATAAGTTTCCTATACTTTTCTATAGTTATATCATGTGTCATAAAAAAAAAATGTGGAAAGAAAGAAGCAAATAAATTTACCCACTTTAAAATTCTACTTAAGGCTAATCTTGCCTTTCCCCACAGACCAGTCTGAAATATCAATTTCTTAAGAAAATGGAGTACATATGGAAAAGAAATCCCTTCAAGATTTAATCCTAGGTTATTCTAAGCATCAGAGTGTACTAAGCTGCACCCCTAAAGCTAACTATGCTTGACAAGTAAGTGTGAGAAATATTTTTTTGTTTACATTTTAAATACTCAATTATTATTCCCAGATCCCTTTATACCAACAGCTCAACTTGAAAAAACAGACATTTTTGTTAAATCTCTCTTCCTCTATTCTAACAAAGTAAGTTTATAGAACACATTTCCATTTTGAAGATTTCTGCTATGCTGCTTTCAATTTCAAGGTCTTAGCCATCAGATCTCTTTCCTTTATATACATACAATAAAAAATATTGTTATAAAAAATGAAAATTTTTTGCAATGTAGAATGGAAAGTGCTAGGAAATTAACCTTTGTGTCCACGGTGCCCAAGGTGGAAGTCTGGCAAGAATGAAAAGTACAAAGAAATAAGAAGATAAATCTTCTCACTAATACAAAAGGCTCAAAAAGTAAACTAATAGGGATGCCTGGGTGGTTCAGTTGGTGAAGTGTCTGCCTTGGGATCAGGTCAGGATCCCAGGACCTGGAATGGAGCCCCACATGGTGGGCAGTGAGGAGGGGCGGCGGGGGGGGGGTGGCACGCAGTTCTTGCTCAGCAGGGAGCCTGCTTCTCCCTCACCTCCCCACTCATGCTCTCTCCGTCTCTCTCTTTCAAATAAATAAATCTTAAAAACAAAAAAAGGTAAACTAATAAAATTAAGTTACCAGATGGTTTTTTGGTCTTTGTTTTCCTGTTCACTAGTTTTTAAACAAAATGTAAAATCTATTCAAGGAATTTAATTTGCAATTAGATATTTTTAACTTTTTAATTAATTTTTAAAAACTCTTAAAATTCTACTTAGATGCAATGAGTACATAAATCTTGAGTGCATAGCTCAATGAATGTTTATACACCCACACACACACACATCCATGTATGAAGATGAAGATACAGACTTAAAGCTAGATTTGAAAATTTTATTAGGGGAAAAAAAAAAAAAACCCAAAAGGTTAAATACCACTGGTCCTCTAAAGCAAAGGAACTTATTTTTTTTAGTTAATTTCGTTTTCATACCTCACAATCTCCTTGAGCATTTTGAACATTGCACCACCTGGCAACAGGTTCAGGAACCACTTCCCAATCCTCACAGACCTGTTTAAGGATATTCACGAATGTTGTCTTCCCTGAAGCTGTTGTGAGAGGAAAAGAAAATTGAAGAAGGAGACTTAGAAAAAAAAAAAAAAAAAAGTCAAAATCAACTTTTTCAAAATTTATACCAGCAAAAATACAAAAAACAAAAATATCCAATTTCTTAAACTTTCTCTTTAGATTTGTTTTAATAAAAACTAAAAGGATCCCTACCACTTGTATTAGGCACATTTGTTATTGTTTTTAGCTTATCAAGGCTACGGAACAGAAGAATTTAAAACCTGGTGAAATTGTAGGCAAGGTGTTAAAGCAGGAAAAAAAAAAATCCTAGTCCTAGCCTCACTTTCCTTAGTAATTAGAGATAACTGTGGGAAATGGTTAAGGCTATTTTTCCATTTAATTAAATATGTGATCTGGGCGCCTGGGTGGCTCAGTGGGTTAAAGCCTCTGCCTTCCGCTCAGGTCATGATCCCAGGGTACTGGGATCAAGCCCCGCATCAGGCTCTGTGCTCAGCAGGGAGCCTGCTTCCCCCTCCTTCTCTCTCTGCCTACTTGTGATCTCTGTCTGTCAAATAAATAAATAAATCTTTAAAAAAAAAATTAAATATGTGATCTTGGGCAAGTCACTGAATCTCTCTGAGCCTGTTTCTTCATAATACAATGGAAATAATAATGCCCTCTTTATGGAAACTGTTGTGATAAACAAGCTATGACTATAGTGACAATCATTATAGGCTCTTGCCTTTTCAAAATTTTTCTGTCTACTGGCTCTATTCTCTCAGTTTACAAACTTAAATCCTTTCCATCTAAAACCAACTTAGAAACAGCCAAATGAACTATAAAATCAATATAAAGATGTATCCAATATCCAGAGTTTTACAATGAGAATCAGTATGATTATATGACACTAACTGTATAACTACACAACATTAAGCCATAGTACCCAACAGAAATTATAAAAACATTTTTATAAAGAGCCTTATAAGGAATAGCCATGTTTTCTCTGCTTCACTTTCACAGTTCTGTGCACTTATCCAACCCTTTAAAAAAAATGCTGTATGTACTTTGCTTCTCCCTGATCATTCACTAGCTTCTGAGACACCTATAGGGAAATAGTTCACATATAATCAGAACATATTAATTCACTATTTTAATATTGCTTGGAAATACATTCCATTTAACAGTAGGGAAAAGTCATGACCTATAATTCAACAGGGTGTAGCAACACTCCTAATGACCACCACACCCTTCATATCTGAAGTCACCAAATGTGGTTATATTAGACATCTCTGGTCAGCATAATGTGCTCTCTCTCTTTTTCTCTCCATATGTATATAAAAATATACACATGGATTAAAATATAAAAAAGCAGCTTCTGCAAGCTTAAAAGGAAAGGTTCCACATCCTTATAAACTGGATCCAAAAAGGGCAAAAAGAACTTACTTTTGACTTGAATACTATATTCAAATCTAGGACATTACACAAGCAATAGAAAGTAAGAAAAAACAGAAGAACTTTAAAAGATCACACATAGACGGACACCTGGATAGCTCAGTTGGTTGTGTTTCTGACTCTTGGTTTTGGCTCTGGTTATGATCTCATGAGTCATGAAATGAAGCGCCGTGTTAGGATCCAAGCTCAGCTGGGAGTCTGCTTGAAGATTCTCTCCTTCTGCCCCACCCCTCAGTCCCTCTCTCAAATAAATAAATTCTTTTTTTTTTTTTTTTTTTTTTTTTTAAGAAGATCACACATAGAGCAAAAACAGGGATGGAAGGAAGGGAGACAATAAGAAGGTAACATAGAAAAAAGAACTGCTGAGAAGCAACACACAAAGTCATATTATATCACCACAGGAAAGGGGAAAAAGTTTTAAGGATAAACTAGATGACCATTAGATTTAATCACGGGAAAAAAGATTGGTGACAACAGATTTCGAATGGAGCATTTAGTATGGTAAGCAGAAGCATATAAATGATCACTGGACATTCACTGAACTAGATGGAGGAAGGAAAGGAAAACATGATGTTCAGAAAGAGAATCCAATGGGACATCTGGGTGGCTCAGCCAGTTAAGCATCTGCCTTTGGATCAGGTCATGAGCCCAGGATCCAGGGATTGAGTCCCACTGGGATCCTGGGATGGAGTCCCACATTGGGCTCCTTGCTCAGCGGGAAGTCTGCTCCTTCCTCTGCCTCCTGCTCCCTCTTCTTGTGCTCTCCCTTTCTCTTTCTCTAACAGATAAATAAATAAAACCTTAAAAAAAAAAGAAGAAGAAGAAGAAGAAGGGGCGTCTGGGTGGCTCAGTGGGTTGAGCCTCTGCCTTTGGCTCGGGTCATGATCTCAGGGTCCTGGGATCGAGCCCTACGTCCGCAGGGAGCGTGCTTCCCCCTCTCTCTGACTGTTGCTCTGTCTGCTTGTGATCTCTCTGTCAAATAAATGAATAAAATCTTTAAAATAAATAAATAAATAAATAAATGTTTTTTTTTTTTAATTAAAAAAAAAAAAAAAGAAAGAGAATCCAAGGAACACATTAAAAAATCATGCATCAGCCAGAGCCTGAAAGCATTCAAAGCTAGAACATTCAGCTTTCTTCTGACATGCCTACAAACAGAAAAATTTCATGTGGTCATACTCTAAAATTTTAAGAGCAAAAACAGTTATTCTTTAAAATCATTCTTTAGTTCAAGCAGAGTAACAATAGTTACCTGTCACTCCAATCAGATTAATATCTAATTCCTTAACTTTGGGGGGAAAGTAGGGAGCTAGAAAGTAAGCCAATTATAAATTAATACTCTATGAAAGCAAAGGAGAACAAGGATCAAAGACACTGATGTTAAAACTTTAAAAGGCCATGGGACCTAACAGAATTACTAATGCCAAGCAGGTATTATGATGCCAAAAATCTTCTATACAAACTATTAAGATGAGAAGAAGCAGGTAAGGCCTCCAGAAATCTAACACAAGTGTGCATTTTAGTAACAAAGAGCGTGAGAAGTTACATGAGTATAAAACTAAAATGACCAGTTGAAGTTCAAATTCTAGGAATCACAAAATAATCTTCCACACACATATTAGCAATTTGTAATTGCTAATTTTTTTTTTTTTTAACCTGGCTGATGATAGGTAAAAAATATCATTGCAAATAAGGTGGAAGGGACAGAAACAACAGTGCTAGCACATTAACAGCAACTGACAAAGCCTCAGTGTCAGGAAAACAGTGAGTGGTAAGGAACATAATCCATCTAAATAGCAAATTGTTATCTAATAGAAACACAGGACCAGTGTTACCAGATCTTCAGATATTTTAAGAAATGCCAAGAATCTAGAAGTTCAAAAGAAATCTTGAAATTTTTAAATGCTAGCAATTCATTAATTTCTTTTTTTCCCCCAAATCTATGTGGGCCACTATTGTGCAAATGCAAGACACCAGTTTGCCAGTTTGCAAGTCCTTCCAGTGTAGGTAATGGAGAAATTAGAGAATTTTAAGTAGGGGATAACACAATTAGATTTGTATACAGAAAGTCTGCTCTGGAGCTGGTAAGAGAAACTGGAGATGGGGTGAAATATTAGGAAATTATTTCAGGTGCTGGGAAGATTAAAGATGCTTGGGGAGTAGTAACTTTCTAGATATGTTGCTTAATTGGATTTAAGAAATGGAAGGGGATTAACTCATGGTGGTATTGATCTAAAGGTTGTTCATTTAAATTGACTTTTGAAATGGCTTTGTTCAACCACTTCCTTCTTTACATATGTTCATCTTTATCCAATATGTAGCTATGGGGAACCCTACTAGTAAACATTCAACTTCAAAGAACTTATCCTAAGAGGTAATGAGAGTCTATTATAAGGCTCTTTTCCACTGGTGCCTGAATACTGGAGCAATGCAACAAGATCTCCTCTTTAAGAGTGTGCTCAGCTATTTTCTACTCCTTGGAATGCTGCTAGAGCATTTGCCCCATCTTTTTAAAGAAGTACAAGAGTTTTGAATGCAGTTAAGAATTAAAAAAACATTTGCTGTATGCATGAATGACCAGTACCCAACTTGGAGCCAAAAAAATTCTATCAGAACAGGAAGTGCCAGGCATAGGTTTCCTGTGGTAGGAAACACAGAAGAATGTAAGTTCAGATGTACCTTGCAAATTGACATGCATGGTATATTCTGCCCTCCTCTGGGTTAGGAATAGAAACATGTGGGTCTTTCAATCATAAGCCAATGTTTACTTGGATGTGGGAGCCAAGAGTGAGGGACGCCATGATATTAAGATCATTAAAAAAAACGCTTTCCTAGTCTCTTCCCTTGTACTGGAATGTTTAGAGCCATTTTATCCATAACCGTTACAACTGAAACCATCCAAATGTTCACAGCTGGGGAGAGAGAAACTGTGGTACCCCCATGCACTGGAATACTACTCGGCAATGAAAGAGAACTACAGATACAAACAATGCGCTAAAATAAAAGCAGCATCGTGCTAAATAAAAGATGCGAGACGACAAGAGGCTACGTACTCTCTTCTCTATGGCAGTCTGGAAAAAGGCAACACTTTGCGGGACAGAAACCCAATCAGTGATCGCCAAGGGGTAGGGGTGCAGAGGTTGCTGACTGCGAAAGAGCGCCAGGGAACTTTCTGAGGTGATAAACATATACTGAACCTTGATCATGAAGACTGTGAAACAGCATTATGTGTGTGTCATCCCTCATTGACGAGGGCACCTAAAAAAGGATAATTTAATGTATATAAATCACACCTCAAGAACACACACACACCCACACACACACCCAATACAAAAACAAAACCAAGAACAGCCCTTCCCTTTGCGCAATCCCAACAAGGGGAGGAAACTGGCCCAAAGTGCACCTTCATGAGGCCCGAACGCTCTGGCGCTCACGGCCCGTGGCCCCGAGGCCGCCGCCAACTCCCGTGGACGGGGCAGAAGCTAGGCAAGGCGGGCAAAAGGATTTCGGAGCGAAGGGAATTCGAGGCCGCGTCCACATGCACACAGCCGGGCTGGAAGAAGGCCCTCACTGAGGAGCAGCAGAGATGCACGGAAAGGCGGCTGCCGCTGCTTTGGGAACATTGCCCGAGGCTCCTTACCGATGTTGCCTTCGATGGCAATTTTCTTGATGCGGGTCCCCTTAGAGCCGGTCGCGAGAGATGGGCAGCTCCTCTTCGGCGGGGTGGCCATTCTGGTCTTGCGGCGGCCCGGAGCGCAAGCAGGGAGGGCTGGGAAGTGGCCACAGGTGCGCGCGCTGGGGCTCGCGCCACTGCCGAACGTGACCTGACACGCAAGCTGAGCTCCCGCCGCAGCAGGTTCTCCAGCCGGCGGGTCCTGGGGTTTGATTTTGGCGCGCGGAGGCAGCTGCGGATGGGGGCGGGACTGAGGCGCGGCCACCCGCCCTGCCGGGAAGCCACGCCCCCTCCCTCCCCCGAGCGGGCGGAGCCTCCCGCGGTCCCTAGGCCTTGGACGCCGCGGGCGGGGCCCCTGCGTGCGCGCCCGGCACGTCGGGTCACGCGGGGGCACGGGGCGGGGCGGCGCTCGTAATGGCGCGCCTCTTGCCGGAGTCGGGGCTGGAGGCTCCTGAGACCTGTGGGACCGGGGGTGACCGCCGAAGATAGACGTTGAGCGAGGGCAAGCGGCGCCACCCGCCTTCATCACCATGAGTGGGCCGGCCTCCACTTTGAAGAACTGGCCTTTCCAGTGGGGCCTGTGGAGATAGAGCGTCTGGAACACAGCTGGCTGGGAAGCAGTGTGCGGTGCAAAAATCACACGGCTTCCCCTGTGTCGTCAGCCTGGAGGACAACCGTCATGCTAAAGTGCCGCTGGCACCCCAGCCCTAAGGAGATGTACGGCACTGTTGATGCGTGCCACGCACTGTTTCGAGAGCTGTTCTTGAATTAACTCGCAGTTAGTGTCCAGTGCAGGAAATCCCACCATTAGCCTGATTTATCAGTGAGGAAACAGGCACTGAGAAGCTACTCGTTCGAAATATCAAAAGCAGTGAGTGGATCTGACACAGGAATGTATGCAGTCAGACACCACTCCACAGCAAGCTTTTCCTGATGTCAAACCACTCTCCATCTGAGTCCCATTTATGTTGAAAGAGAATATGCCACCCCAAAATATGCACTATGACATTATTTCAAAATAAAGGACAAGGACACTCTGCCCTTCCTTTGTCCCCACTAAAAGCAGGAGATGAATCTATGTGAAAGGTATCCTCCCTGTACCAGGAGAGTAGAAGGCCTCCTTATCACCAGATGGGGAATTCAGGGCCAGAAGGCCTATTAACAAACCTTGCTACTTCACCAATTTATTACCCCAAATCCAAACCCCATTTGTCTTGTCAATTCTCACTAATTTATTGTTTGTCTAAAAGATTAAATGACGTATTTTGGTCATTACTTTGTATGTAGCTCCTATATATATACACACATAATGAAATTTGGTTTCCTCCTATGAATCTGTCTTGTGTCGATACGATTATTAGACCAGGCAAAGAACTTAGAAGGGTAGAAGAAAAATTTTCTGTCCCTACAATGCTATGTAGAAGTTACCACGCTGGGTAGGTTTCTGTACGCATGACTATGGACAGCTTAATTTTGCATGCCCTACACCTAGCACATAGCTAACAAATGCTAATTTTTGAATGCACACCTATGTGCCATGAACTCTGCTAAAAGACTCATCTAGCTGGGAACAGACGCAGTGTAGAAACAACCAGAATTCATTTTTAATCTTGGTAAAGATCTGCTAAACTCACTACCCAGTCTAGAATGGTTCCTTGAATGAGGAACCATTCATGAGTTAAATGGTCTATAGAAACCAAAGGCCCTATTACTCTGTTACTCTACCTTTCAAATACCAAGACATGAAATGTGTCTTAATGGTAGAGTCAGAAGGGGTGTAAACAGTGAATCCATTCTAAGAAATAGAAGGCAGAAATTAAAATGTGAATTCATGGGGAACTCTAGAATAAAAACAGCAAAAATCATTCTTTGTTAACATCCCTGTAATTATTTTGCTGTTATTATGTTTATTACTTTCATTTATCCCCCTAGTGATTAGCAGCAGGATCACTGAAATGAAAAAGCCTCAACACTTGTCATCAGGGATGGCAAGGAAGCCCCAGAATCCATGGAGTGTTATATTCCACACCCAAGCTTAGAAAACCCATGAAATGGTAAAGATACTGGCTGTACTTAGAGTTAGGCAGGGTGAGGGAGACCTTCAAACAAGAGGAAAGTAGAAGAAAAGAAATTCCATATGGATCTGATAAAGATGTTTAGAGTTGAGAAGCAGGAATACCCAAGTGTGATTTCCACAAAAGAAAAGTAGTATAATGCTGAGATTGAGAGGTTTAAGCAGTGGAAAATTAAAGACTGGGTTCAGATTCCAGCTCTGCCAGATTCTGGGCTGTGAGAACTTGAGTTCTTCAAAGCTTAAAAGTGTTCCTTAAAAACACGAAGTAGGTGGGGAAAAGAGGGAAACCTAGCTTTCTCGGCATCAGATTCAGCATAATTTACTATTTTCCTAAATAACCTTTGGATAATGCAAGAAAGAGGTAAGAGAAAAGCACTTTTAAAAAATATCCTTGATTTTGGGGGTGCCTGGGTGATTAAGTCAGTTAAGCGCCAAACTCATAGTTTCAGCTCAGGTTGTGATCTCAGGGCCCTGATCTCAGAGTTGTGATATCAAGCCCTGCACTGAGCTCTGGGCTTGGGTCAGAGTCTGCTTGAGATTCTTTCCTCCTCTGTTCCTCCCTCTGCTCACACGGCTTTCTCTAAAATAAATAATATCTTTTAAAAAAAAAAATTCCTTGATTTTTATCTACAACTCCTTATCTGAAACCCTTGCAGCTAGATGTTTCAGAATGCAAAAATTTTTGGATTTTAGAAACATACAGTCGTGTAGTACATATGTATGTAACCATCTCTCACCCTCCCACAGAGGTGTTAAATTAAATACACAGATAATTTGCAGTGAAACACAGATTTCACATTAAGTGGGATTGAAAACTAGTAACTCCAGATTGGGTTAAGTTTGCACCAAATTCAAGAAAATACTTGCAGTTGTCCAAGCTTTTCAGATTCTGGAATTGCAGATAAAAGACAGGGTGTCGGAACACCCAGCCAGTTGTGACCATGCTACCATTTTCACCCTTCTTTGCCAGAAATTTTAGAACTCCTTCAATTTGGGAATTTCTTTTCTTCTGTGGGAATGCTGGTATAACTAAAGACAGGATCTTGACATATAGGTTTATTAAGAAAACTCTAAAGCAACTCAGAAAATGAGAACAAAGGGGGGAATAAAAAGTCCCTGAACATTGATAAGTAGTGATTACAGCCCATGCCTTTGTATACACCAACCTAACAACTTCTGTAAAATGGTATTTATTGACTTAATAAGCTTGGTTATAAATTACTCCTTGCAACCATCATTATTGCCTAGAAACATACGAATGCAGAAGCCATCATAAAATCAAGAGTGGGGAGTCAGGGTACTTCTAGCAAGTCTGAAGTGCAATAGCATAATAACTTGCTAGAAGGGCATGAACAGGGAGCCATGGATCCTATATAGCTCTTTATCAAAGGAAAATATATTATGCTGCATGCTAGGTCATCAAGAAAATGTGACACTGTACTCAATAGGCTATTTAACACAGGAGTTTTAACATTTATTAAACATGGTTACTTAAAGGAATATTTAGAACTTGATACCAAAATGCATCATTCCAAATAATATTATATACTGAAGAATTAACTATTTAAATTTAGTACAATAGGGACGCCTGGGTGGCTCAGTTGGTTAACCAGCTGCCTTCAGCTCAGGTCATGATCCCAGCGTCCTGGGATCGAGTCCCGCATCGAGCTCCTTGCTCAGCAGGGAACCTGCTTCTCCCTCTGCCTCTGCCTGCCATTCTGTCTGCCTGTGCTTGCTCTCTCTCCCTCTCTCTCTCTCTGACAAATAAATAAATAAAATCTTAAAAAAAAAATTTAGTACAATAGAGGCAAGTGAACCTAATTATCAAAATATAGTTAATTTTTACATGGGTATGTGTTTATTTCTTTATACACAATGGATGCTTTGTAGATACTATACATGCAAAATAACAAGGTGTTTTCATTAAAGTATACAGGCACAAATCTTACCAGTATGGACTAGTATTTCTTCTTCTCCTATCTTTTCTATAAATATCAATTAGTGACACTGGGCAACTGTGGTGACTTGACGGTCCAAACACAAAATGCCTCTAAACATATATATCTCTAAATAATGGCTCTGAGAACACTCTAACACACACAATTCCTTCTGGAATTTAGGTATCAGGGCAAAATGAAGATCCTCCAAAACTGTTTATTAATATTCCTTATTGGTCTATAACGAAAATAAAATAATAGGTAAAAGCTTGATAGAAAGGCCAACAATTATGTTGCTAACCATTCTCATAGCAGCAGAACATTTAAAGAAAACAAACAAAAGCACTGGCTTCAAGGTCAAGCCTATTTGGGTTTTTATATCTTGGTCCTCATCAGTGACTTCTACAATTCCTGGGTTTCAGTTTTCTAGTATGTAAGACAATGAGATACTAACCTCTGGGGTTGTTGTGAACCTTATTAAAAATAAGGCCTAACAGGGACACCTGGGTGGCTCAGGCGGTTAAGTGACCAGCTCTTGGTTTCGCTCAAGTCATGATCTCATGGGTTGTGGGATGCAGCTCCATGTCAGGCTCCGAGTTCAGCAGGGAGTCTGCTTCAAGATTCTCTCTGCCTGTCTTCCAACTCACATGCACATATTTGTGTGCTCTCTCTCTCCCTCTAAAATAAATAAATCTTTGAAATAATGCCTAACAAATCTTATATGTCCAACATATTCCATACTTTCAATATTTCTCTAGTAATGTGTTTAATGTGGGAACATCTACAGTAAATAATCAGTAATGCCAAGTCAGGATTCATGGCCAAACATAACTATTTATTAATTTTTTAAATAAACATTCAGTTTCTTCCTTTAAAAAACACCCTAGAATTGAAATATTTCCCATCCCATCACATACAAGTCTATATATGTTATTTACATCTCTCAAACATATTACAGATTTTCTGACATTCAGTATCCTTTTAAAATAAAATGATGGAGCAATTAAACTTTTGATGATTAATAACTAGAATTTGAGTAATCTTGGCACAGTTTTCAATATACTGTTCATGTTGCATTTCATATTTTAGACCATTTTTCCCCATCCAGCTACTTAAAATAGAGAAAAACTGTGTATCTCCATGAGAGCAGGATCCCTGTCTTTTGTATTCTCTGCAATATTT